TTCCAAGTATTGAAAAATAGTGTCAAGACCATCTTCCCCTCCTTGTTTTTCTCTTTCAAATTTTTGATATATAAGTTCCAATTCATCCATAGATGATGCCATTGTGTAGAGAAAAAGTTTTTCCAAACAACCACCCAGATGATTTAATCAGAAGTAATTTCCAAAGGTTCCAAAATCACCAAACAATCCAAACAGACTGTTTCTTTTAAATACCTTCTTCTTCTTGACTTTCTCTTTCTGGGGTTAAAGTAATCACAAATTCTTTTCAAATATATTTTTTTTGGAAGTTTTTAAACTCTTTGCAATTCTAGGCAATCTTCTCCTTATTTTCAAATTTTGCTCAGATTTTTTTTTTCACTCTCCCTTCCCACTCACAGCCAAAAAGATTTTTTTTTTTCCCCGCTGTCACTTTAGGAAGGAGAGTCGAACAAAGAAAAAAAAAACTTTTCCCTTTAAGGTATTCGCAGCTTGTAACTCTTGCAAGGAACAATAGATACTTAACAGCTTTCAAGGTTCCAAATCACTTTCTCCCGTCTTGTCCCAGTTAGAAGCAACTTTCACTTTTCTTTCAGCTTTCTCCCTCCTGCACTTGCTTACCTGGCTGCAGCTTTCTTCGTGGTGGCCATTGCTGACCGCCGTTCCTCCGCCTCGGGAAAAGGGAGTTTAGCCGGCTGGGGAGGGGGTTTGCGGCACCCCCAAACCCCTTGCCAGATCCCCCCTATCTTCCGCTGCCTCTACAGGGCAGCTGTATCCCCCAGATCCAAATGGATCGGGGGAACCTTGGCGGTGAACGCAGCAGGGATCGCACAGTGGCAAATCCCTGCCGCCGCCGAAAGCTAGCAAACCGGAAGTCATCTATATCCACTTTCTATTGTTTATATCTATCATCTATATCATTTATCTATCATCTACCCGTCAGCCAGTTGCGAGTCCATCTAGTGGTGGTGCGGTCTATTCCACTTTTTTCTAGCTTACTAAGAAGTAGGTTGTGGTCTACTTTGTCAAATGCCTTGCTGAAATCTAAATATATTATGTCCACAGTATTTTGCTTAATTTAGTCACTATGTTGAAGAATGAAATAAGATTGGTTTGGCATGATCTGTTCTTAACAAACCTGTGCTGACTGCTAGTTATTACTTTACTTGTTTCTAGATGTTGGCATATCTGTTTTTTTATTATCTTTTCCAGTATCTTCCCGGGTATTGATGTTAGGCTGATTGGTCTATAGTTTCCTGGGTCTGTTTTTTTTTTTTTTTTTTGAAGATGGGAACCACATCAGCATTTTTCCAGTCCTCTGGTAGTTCCCCGGTGCTCCAGGATTTTTGAAATATGTGGTGCAGTGGTTCTGAGATGACCTCTGCCAGCTCCTTTAAAACTCTGGGATGTAATCCATCAGGCCCCGGTGAATTGTTTTCATCAAGATCAGACAGGTGTTCTCTTACTATTTTTTTGCTTATTTTAACTTTTATTTCTGGTCTGTCTTTTACAGTTATGTTTTTGGTAGGTTGAGCTATTGTTTCTTTTTGCGTGAAGACGGATGCAAAGAATGAGTTAAGCAATTCTGCTTTCTCTCTGTTGCCTGTTACTTCCTTACCATCTTCTCTCTTTAGTGGACCGACTGTTTCCTTGATTTTTTTCTTGTTATTTATATGTTGGAAGAAACTTTTTTTATTATCTTTGACTTTTGTTGCAAGTCTTTGTTCGTTCTGAGCCTTTGGTATCCTGACTTCGTCTTTGCAGATTCTGGCTATCTGCTGATATTCTGCCTTAGTTGTATGTCCTTCTTTCCATTTTTTGTACTTGTCCTTTTTTTCTTTCAATTTTCCAGAGAGATCTTTGTGCAGACATGCTGGTTTCTTCTTGGATTTCTTGTTTTTCTTTCTCAGTGGTATTGTGCTGGTCTGGGCTTCTATGATCATACTTTTCAGAGTTTCCCAAGATTCTTGAGTTGTTTTCCCCTTTAGGATTTTCATCCATGGAATCTTTCCCAAGTTCTGAGTTTATTGAAATCAGCTCTTTTAAAATCCAAGACTCTGGTGTCATTATGTTCTATTGCTTGTGTTTGTGTTATGTTGAATTCTAGTATGACATGGTCACTCTCACCCAAGGTTCCTGCAGTTTCAACTCCCTCTATCACTTATTCTCTGTTTGAAAGAATTAAGTCCAGTATGGCTGTCTCTCTAGTTTCGCCCTCTACCTTTTGGACAACAAAGTTGTCAGCTAGGTTGGTTAGGAACTTATTTGATTTCTTACTTGGTGCAAAATTAGTTTTCCAATTGATATCAGGAAAATTGAAGTCTCCCATTACTATTGTTGTGTGTTTCCTGCATATGTTTGTTGGCTGGTTGGCAAAAAGGACATCTATTTTTTCTGCTTGATTGGGTGGCCTATAATATACACCTATGGCCATGTCATTCTTTTTTTCTTTTATATTGACCCATATGCACTCTAGGAGGTTTTCATCTTTGGTTTCATGCATTTCTGTAGCAATATAGTGGTCCTTTACATACAGTGCAACTCCACCTTCTCTTTTATGGGGTGTTTTTTTTGGGGGCCCCCAACTGCAGGATGTAGATGACTTCCTACGACTGCAAGAGGCCAGATTTGAGGAGGCAGAGGATGACCTGTATGCAGAAGATGAGCTCAGCAACCTAAAGCAGGGAGGGCAACCCATCAAGGGACACATCTGTGAATTCAGGAGAATCAGTGGGAGGCTACCCCTTATCAGAGGCATCTTGGGTAAAGAGTAGGAACGTCCAAGCTGATCGCCTTTTGACAAGGTTCCATGCAGAAAATCCAACCAAGCCTGGGGGGTGGTGGTGTTGGGGGGGTTTCGCAACCCTAAGTCCTATACCTGCAATAAATTTGTTTTCTTTTTGTGTTGTACAGGTCACCTTCAAGAAGTGAGGGGAGCTGAATGTCAACTCATAAAATATTTCTATGGTCATTTTAGAATTGCCAACAGAAAAAGGGGGGGGGGGGCGGGGGGGAGACCAGGGTCAAGGGTGACAATTATGTGTCTCAGAGTCGTCTACACCCAGGCAGTGCCTGACATGTTAACTCTCAATAAATCCTTTTGAAGTTTTGGAAGTTTGGCTCAAGGCTCATGATTTAATTGGGGTAACTGCCAGAATCCTGACAGTTAGTCAGTGGATGATATCCCCCGAAAATAAGACCTGGTGCCTTTTTTGGTGGCCAAAAAAAATATAAGACAGGGTCTTATTTTCAGAGAAACATGGTATGTATAAATCTGGCAAGATCTGGATGCCATGAAAGGTGTTTGCAAGCCGATGAGATTTTGGGGCAGCAAAATCATTTGCTTGAAACCTCCCATCGGCTTGTAAACACTCTTTGTGCTGAAGACTGGAATGCTGCAAAAGGTGTTTGCAAGCCGACGGGATGCTTCAAACAAGGGATTTCGCTAGCCCAAAATCTCGTCTTGCTCAGCTGAAAAGGGTGCCTGGGGAGAGTCGAACATTACAGCAAAAATTGCAACAGGGAGGGGGGCGGGTTAAAAATGGGAAGCCGCAATGGGCAAGCAGCAGTGGGCAGGGGCTTCCCATTTTGACCGCTCTCGTCTCTGTGCCTGGACTTCAGCCTAAAACCGAAAGGGCAGTTCAGCTGCCTCCCGCCACTGCACCCCAGCACCATTCGACATCCCCCCCTCCAGGCACCCTCCCCCGCCGCGCACCAGGACCCATTGCCCTGCTGCCCCCCCCCCCAGGCTTTGGCGCTCACTCTGGATCACCTTTCCCAGCTTTGTCTGGCCCATCACAGGTGCCCCTCGACGTGGCATCAAGTTGGCCCCACCTACCCTGTCACGCCCACCTGGCCCTCGGAGGACCAACCATAATGCTGATCCGGCCCTCAAATCAAGTTGAGTTTGACACTCCTGGTCTAGGGTCTTCTGCAGGCGTGGGATTCTACTGGTTCTTACCTATTTGCTAGAACCTGTTGTTAAACTTTCTAAGCAGTTCGGAGAACTGGTTGTTGGAAGAAATCTCCTTTTGTTTTTTTCCACTTTACAGGGCTAATCCTGTAAGGAAGGCAGGAAGGAAACATTCTGGTGGTGTTGTTTACAGAAACTGCCTCTCTGTTAACCCTTATTACATTCTTGGCAGTACGCCTAGACTTCCTGTCTCCAGAGCTTCTCTGGAGTTTTTTTTCTCCTTTGCTGGTACTTTGCTTGACTTTCTTAAAGGGGAAGGGTTTTTCTAAGCTTTTTACACTGCTGTTGGGAGGAAATACTCCCCTGTTGGAGTGATTTAGCACTTTGAAGAAATAATTGAATAACAAAGCAGAGCTGCCAGAAAGAAGCTTTTAATGACAAGGAACCAAGATGAGTGACATTCAGCAAGGCTTCTTGGCTAGCTAGAAAGATTGACATTCAAACGTGAGTTTACATACCCTTTCTGAGTTTTGGTCTAAAAGTGGTTTTTGGTGAAGTTTAATTCTGTGCTTGGTGACATTTAATCCTGTGTTTATTGATGGGATAATTTTCCCTATTCAGCTTTGTTTGGAAAGAAAAAGGTTAACCTCTGTTCCTGAAAAGAAACTGGGTTGAGAAATCTGGCTAGTTTCTGTGTCTATTTGTTCTGATAATTGGTTTCACAAGCATCAGCTACTGTTGTGATTTAATTATTTCTATTGTGTTTGAATTTTTTTCCTGCCTCATGTTTTTTTTAATCTGGGGAGGGGGTCTTCCTTCACTGCTTTAGTGGTATCTGGCACTGTCCTTTTGGGGTGTACTTCCAAGAGGCACGATGCAAGCTTGGCACTGATTTTTTTACTGCCTTTCTGGGGGGCATGTGATCTTTCTTTAAATCTGGATGATTTCTTTAGGATACCTTGTGAGGTGAGACCAGCTGGTATCTTTAAATGGTGCAAATTGATCTAAGGATTGCTTCTCCTGGGTGTGCTCTTTCTGGAGAGCTTAAATGACCTCTCTTTATGAGCAAGAGTTGGCTGATGATAGTTATTGTTGCATTTTAACTATTTTAATTCCTGAAGGTGCTCTGGCACCCTGCCTGATTTGTAACTCTGGGTTGCAGGTAGTTTTAATCTAATAATTGGTATTTAGGGCAGTTTTTTTGCAAGCAAAGAAGCTTTTTGTATTTTTGTACAGGTAATCCTTGACTTAGATGCACTGCAAGCAAGCGGGGATCGTGCGTGCATGCGCAGATGCACGGTGCACGAGGGGGGAATCGTGCACGTGTGCGCAAAGGGATGCAGTGCATGAGGGGGGAATTGCGCACGCATGTGCAGATGGAATCCTGCAATCCCAAATAAAGAATGATCGATCAGTAGGAAAACGGGATGGGGAATTTTCCTGCAGACTTTTTGGGGGATTTTTCCAGGGTCTCTGGTCCGCGGGATTTAAAATTACAAGTTCGGTGGTCCCTGAGGTCCAAAAGGTTGGCGACCCCTGGGCTAGATGACCTCCAAGGTCCCTTCCAGCTCTATTCTGATTGATTGACTGATGTTTTCTTTGCTGTTTTCTGCTCATTTTCTCCCGTGACCTCTTTGTTTATAATCCAAGGTTGGAGGGGAGCAGGGTGGGGATCTGCCCTGGCATGTTATCTGCATCTGCCAAGCCTTGCATTGACCAAGGGCCTGCATAGTTTCAACACACACTTGCAACTGTCACACACCTTCAAGAGGGTCTTATCTTCCAGAAAGCCTTGCCCCCTTGTTTATGTTGTTGGGGGAATATTTACCCATACATTCCAGAGTTGAGGATTGTGGATGTATTTAGGAGACTCCGATGCTCGGCTTTGCTGGATTTTTCTTGCTGGATTTGGGACTACATGTAGTCCTCGACTTACAACAGTTCATTCAGTGACTGTTCAGAGATACAACGGCACTGAAAAAAGGGACTGATGGCCATTTTTCACACTTTCAGACGTGGTCGCATCCCCATGATTACATGATAAAAATTTGGAGGCTTGCCAACTGCCTCATATTTGCGACAGTGGCAGCGTCCTAGGGTCATGTGATCCTCTTTGGACAAGTAAAGTCAATGGAGAAGCCAGATTCACTTAACATCTGCAGTGATTCGGTTAACAACTGTAGCAAGAAAGGTCATAAAACGGAGTGTCATTCACCTAACACACGTTTCCCTTAGCAACAGAAACGTTGGGCTCAATTGTGGCCGTACGTCGAGGACTGCCTGTAAAATTCCTTTGGGCTCTGCTGGGCTGGGAATTCTGGGACTTGAGGTTGCTAGAACCTGTCAATCAAAGGCTGAGAAGGACAAAGGAAGGGTCATTTTAGACAACCCCTTCATTCGATCACGGCGTTTCTCAAAAACCTGACAAATTTAGACGTGTGGACCTCAACTCCCAGAATTCCCCAGCCAGCATGGAATCCTGGGAGTTGAAGTCCACAAGTCTTATAATTGCCCAGGTCTAGAAACACAAGCCCCAAATTTAAACCACAATGCCACAGAGCCTGGCTGAGGTTTGAAGACCCAATTGTAGACTGCCATTTCAAAGAGGTTTCTCTTTACGTCGTCCCAGAAGGTCCAAAAATGAGGCCTTGGTCACCTCACACTCACAAGTGAACTGATTGTTGCCACTAAACAAGGTGTTGTATCTGGTCCCCCAAAAGCTGACGACAGCACTTCAAAAAGACATGCAAAAGGTCACGTGATCAGACACTTGGCAACTGGGTCAGATTTATGACTGTTGCTGTTTCCCAGGGTCATGTGATCCCCTTTGGTGACCTTCTGTAAGAAATAAGTAAATTCAAAACTAAAATAGTATATAAGATGCTTAAAGGTTTCACAAATGGAGATTGGACTAGATGACCTATAGGGTCCCTTCCCTCTCTGTTAATCTGTTATCAAATGAAATATATTTTCCTGTATATATGTGCTTTGCTTTTATACTTTTGACATGCTCTGTTAGGAATGATAGTCACCTAACTGTTCGGTTGGCAATATATAAACCAGGATAGTTATTTAATACTGTTGTATCTTTAAGAGAATGCTGTAATTGTGATTGGCTGAGGTTCCTCCAATGGCCATAAGATGGAGCCAGAAACCTGGTTTGCTCTCTCCTTGCATTTCCCTATTGCCTTTTGCCTGATCATCGTTCTGCTTGGATTGCTGTGAGTCTTGCAAACTGTCAGCAAACTCCGTTTGCTGAACTTTGTTTATGATACTGGACTTCGTTTTTGGATTATCCCTGATTGTATTGAATACTACATGCTTTAACCATGTATGATTTTGGATTGTTTGTTGGACTTTGTTTACCCATTTACTGGAAGTAAAACCTACATTTTACTATTCAGTGTATCTGTATGCTGGTTGTGTGTTATTCAACACCACTCTCACTACGTTTCCCTGAGTGCACTCATTCTCCTAACGGGGAATACCTCAACATGCTCCATTAAGCTTTTTTATATTTTTATCTTATGAATATGCCTTTTATATTATTATTATGTTTGGGGGGGGGGGGTTTTGTTATAATCTCTTTGGAAAAATGGTAGTATTGTTGTCAACAAAACTGGGCTCTTGCTTGGTGTCGAAGCCGATAAGTCACCGGACACAAGGTGTGATACAAAATTATACTTTTATTTTGGTACCAAGATATAAGGACCCTGGCTCAAAAGCTAACCAAGGGCCCCGATTACAAACTTACAGCAATTTTTATAGTCAAGGGATGGTCACATTCAGCCCTTTGCCCTTCCCCTAATAATGCATGCATAACAGATAATAGTGATTGGTTATTTGGATCTCAGCCCCCTACATAGCTAAATGTCACATCATCTGTTTTTCACCCCAGGTCACGGGTATCTTGCAAAGTGTCCTAGTTTCATGTGCCAGCTATGTAGTTTTGGGGGTTTTTCTTATAAGCAAGCTATTCTTGTTCCTAATATCCTGGCTAGTGGCTTAAGGCAGCGGTCGCCAACCAGTGGGCCACTGGTGGGCTGTGAGAAAATTTTGGTGGGCTGCAGAGAAATCTCACCCCCAGAGCACCCCCCACCCCCCAAAGCAGTTAATCCAGGCTGTGCAGAAACACAAGGCTGCGCCATCCACATGGCCTGCAGGAACACTCCCCGCCCACTCACTCCTTACCCAGCAAACTTGCCTGATAAAATTGCTATTTTTCCTTTTTCTGACTATCATCTGTTCTGCTGTGCTGGGAGATTTAGATTAGCTAGGAAGCAGGAAATGGTTGGATTTCTTGCTTTCTAGCTAGTCTTTAGAACCTCCCTTAGGACTGAAGGTTCTGTTATTCAGTGCAGACTCATGGCAAGCAAATTTGAGAGACTGAGCTAGCCGATGGCAGATAGATAGATCACTGAATGAATCTGTGATTCTGTGAGCAACTCAATCTGCCTGCCTGCTTTGCCTGATTTTGGGTAAAAGTTGCTCTTTTTTTATTAAAAAATCAATATTTACATACATGGTGTGTTGTGAGTTAATTTTATGAGTTTGCTTGCAAGCAAATTTTATGTGACAGACTGAGCTAGCCAATGGCAGATAGATAGATTTCTGAATGAATGGAGGAGCCTGGGGAAGCCAGCTGCATGCTGTAAGCAGCTCCTCTTGGTTTTATCTTATTTTATCAATTTTTAGTACTCCCACTGGATCCTTTTTATTTAAATAATATTTTCTGGAGAAGATAACAGCATAGACCACAACACAGAAAAAAGTTTTTGTTTTGCTGAGGACTAACAAGGCATGGGGAAAAGAAAGAAGCGCCATGGCACTAGCCCAGGATCTCTCCCACCAGTGAAGACTGCAAAACAACCAAGAATTGAGGAGCACTTTGCTGGCAAGAGATCTGTAAGTAAAACTAACCCCCCCTCCATTTCCAACAATCCTGAGAAGTTAGAACGGGACCTGCAAAGAGATCTGACAAAATAGCAGATATTAGACTTTCCTGATCTAGTGGGGGAGGAGCAAAATGACTGTCAGATTTTTTCACAAACAACTAAGCCAGTTACAGCTGATATGGAGACTGTGATAAAGACTAAAAAGATTAATAATAATCTAACTCAAGGTGAGGAGAGCTTATACAACAGAGTTTATGGCAAAACAATGCCTTCTCACAGCACAAATGGTTGTCTCAATATTTGAACAATTAATAACCATCCAACACGATGTAGAGACATTAAAAAAAGATATCGCTGTCTTTCTGCAAGCACAGCATCGGGCTACAGACCCCACCACCAACGTGCTTACAGCAGACCTGGGTAAATCCCATACTCAGGATATGGAAGAAGAAAAAGAGCAAAGACCCAGGGAAACAGTTAAAAAAACCTGTTAAAAAGTGGCAGCCCTCTCAGAAAAACAGCCCTTCTCCAGACAAGGCAACAAGAGGAAGAGGTATCGATAGAGAAGTTTCATTGGAAGTCAGGAAAGCATCTCCCCTACAATTTATTTATTTATTTGATTTGTCAATTGCTTACAAGATAACAGGTATAAGTATAAACATAGTTATGAATACATGGATACATATAAGAAAAAAAAGAAACAATAGGACAGGGACAGTAGGCATGTTTGTGCGCTTATGCACGCCCCCTGCTCTAATCACATCGCTCATTGCAAACACAACAGATTGCTTTGAGAATCCATATGAACAGATTTAATTATGGACGCTGGATTACTTAGAGTGCTATACTAAATTCCCTAAGTCAGCTTCTTCACTGCCATCGGGGGCAGATTGATCTTCGTACTGTGGATTGGCTTCCTGAGTTCCCAAGTTGGAAGTGGATACTCCTGTCTTTCAAGCAGCCCACCATACTACTGATGCTGTTTAAGATGAAGGCACATCTAGCCTCCTTCCAAATTTTTCCCATCAGAGTTTTCTGTGAGGAAAAGGTTAAACCTTTAATTGTTAAAATGTGAGCTCCCACCGCTGCTGTCTCTTCTGCAGTCTCAACCTTGAAAAAAAGAGAAAGAAAGTGGGAGTCAGCCAGCCTTGGTCGGTGAAGATCTACTTAACAGCACAGAAACGGTCCTCATTAATGCTTTTGGAGCTCTCCCAAGAAAAGAACAAGATAACATATTATTCAAGCTAGAAAATTTAAAGAAATCCTTGTTGGTCACAATGGACACTGCTGAACCGCTTATAGATCTGGTCTCCCCAATAATTGAACCTCTTACTTCTCCCCCAGAGGGCAAGGGACTGCACGAATACAAGATGGAAAACAGAAGCCAAGATACACAGGGACCACTAGAGGCTCCAGTAGAGATGGAGATACTTATCATCCTTATGTGAATATCCTATGACACCTTCAGCACCACAACAAGAGATTGGGAGAGGTCCCACGACAGTACCATCATCTCAAAGTTGAATGAAGCATGACCTAATCACCCCTTGCCCTATACCTAGAGAAGAAGCACAGGAATGGCAAGCTCTGCTAGCTGGTGCTAAAACCCCTTATCCTGAACAATTTTCTCAGGAGTCTACACAGGATTCAGATGGGTCTCCCCTCCTTTTAGAGAAAGCCAATTTCGTGCGTGACGACACCTCAGTCCATTGCAACAACCCTACAACTTCCCTTTGTATAAATCAAATTTCCTGATAAGCGGCAAAAGATGATCCTCTCTCCATTATAACCAGGAATATAGCGGGCTGGACTGTCCCATCAAAAGACCAACTCTTTTTTGACTACATATCACAATTTGACATCCTCTTCTTACAGGAATCCTTGACCCCCGCAGAGATACAGTTAGATGGTTATTGGACCAACTCTATCCTGGCTGCTCCAAGTAAGGTGGGTGGGAGAGCTAAAGGGGGTATTGTGACACTAGTTAATACAGCCCTGCAATTTAAATGTGTATCACTGCCACCTTTTCAGCCATGGGTTGTGACTACCTTACTTTTATATAAACAGGTGGAGATTTTGCTTTTTAATATCTACATTCCTCCACTCAACAAGAAGGATTTGATCAACAAGATTTGGGATGGCATAGAATATTTTATCCTTGGCTGTTCAGACAAATACCCCACAGCAGCAATAATTATTGGAGGGGACTTAAATGCTAGGATGGGTCCAAATGATCAAGCATTATTTAATCAATTTAAGATCCATTATGATTAGAATGTACCAGACGAACCCCTGCATTCCAGACAATCTAAAGATCCTAAAGCAAATTGGGCAGGTTTATGTGTAAGACAGATGACTTTACATTTGGACCTTTGCATCCTTAATGGTTCCACAAAAGGCAACTACCCAGCGGAATATACTTATCGGGGAGCAGGAAGAAAATCCATAGTTGATTATTGGATAATATCATATGACCTCCAAAAGTTCTTGCAAAAGATGGAAGTAGACTCACGACTGGAAAGCGATCACAATTCAGTAATCCTTACTCTCACATTACACCAGAAATCTCTAAGGATTGGTTCAATCTACCTACCCAGCCTAGAGAGCCAAAACACCCAGGTATAAATTAAATGGACCGAGAAAAATGCAAAGGAAGTTACTAAATGGATGTTAGTGCCAGAAACAATAGAACTTCGTACATCTCTACTAAAAAATAAGTTTGAAGGATCATACTTAGAGGGGTTTGAAACTTTAATTTCAAATTTGAAATCGGTTCTCACTAACAGAATACTAGCTCAATACAAAAAGCCGATTTTGAAGAATAAAAATTGGCTTGATAGAGATTGCATGCAACTGAAAAGGACACATAACAAAGAGTATAGGAAAAGTAAAAATGCCCCTTCTGAGGATCACACTCACTACTTAAAGCAGTTGAAGGCACAATATAAGACCCTGCTAAAAGAAAAGAAAAGTGCGGCTCTGAAGGAGTCTTGGCATAGATTAACTGCAGCAGTCAAGACAAAAAATACATCCCTTTTCTGGCACATCACTAGAGGATTGGGGAAATCCCCCCTACCCCCAACTAATCAGGTACCGATTCATGCCTGGGAAGAATATTTTAAAGAGCCATATACAGACCCTGATTAAGGAGAGCCAAATTAGTTTGGACCAAACTCCTTACTGGCCCCCGGTTACACCAGGAGAGATATCCCGGTTGATCGGAACCCTCAAGGCTAATAAGGCACCAGGTGCTGATAATGTCCTGCAAGAAATAATCAAAAAGAATGCCAGTTGGTGGGTTCCACTTTTAGCATCTCTGTTTACATTTATAGATAAAACAGGCCGTATGCCAAGGGATTGGGGATTAGCAATTATCATACCAAGCTATAAAAAATGTAATAGAAATGACCCAGGTAATTATAGACCTATTAGCCTTCTGAGTGTTATTAGTAAATTGTATGCCAAATACCTAAACTATAAACTTCAGGATTGGCTAATTTCCGGGGGGATAATTAAAGACGAGCAAGCTGGTTTTAGGGAAGGAAGATCTACGGTGGATCGTATCTTGGTACTTCACCATCTGGTTCAAAAATACACGAATAAAAAAAATTCCTCTCTTTTCATGGCCTTCCTTGATTTTAAGCAGGCCTTCGATTCAATATCCAGGAACACTCTCTGGGAGAAATTAAAACACACTACCATCGATAAACGCCTCCTTTTCCTCATACAAAAATTGTATGATAATTCCACCTTGAAAGTGAGGTGTAATCCTCAAGGGACTTTAACTGGCCCAATAAGGGTACAAAAAGGGGTATGGCAGGGTTGCATCCTATCCCCCTCCCTTTTTAACTTTGACATGAACCCTCTGATCAACCTCTTACAGAACCCTGATTTACATCCTCCAAACGTAGCACAATGTAAAATCCCAATTCTCCTATATGCCGATGCTGCTGCTATAATCTCACAAATTCCAATAGGACAGAAGAGAGCAATTACGGCAACACTTGAATTTTGTAAACAGAATAAGCTGGTTCTTAACTTTGATAAATCAAAAGTTTTAGTTTTTGCTAAAAGACCTAGACAATACTCCTGGAAAATAGAAGGGTATAGTTTAGAACAGGTCAGGACATTCAGATATCTTGGGGTAGTTTTCCACTCACAAGGGACATGGAAGGGACACCTGGATCACACAGTGCAAGCCGCCTATAGGTCCTCAAATGCAATTAAACACTTCTTTTACACTGGTGGAGGGCAATTACTACCTGCGGCCTTAAAACTTTTTGAGGCCAAAACATTGGCACAAATTCTATATGGAGCACAAACAGGAATCCTTGTAAAAGAAGACTTGCTAGAACTTATACAAACCAAATTCCTGCTAGCCATCTTAGCTGCACCCAAAGGAACTCCAAATGCCCAGGTAAGAATTGAGACAGGCATGCCTCAAATTCAGGTAAGAGCCTGGAAGATGATGATCATTCATTGGCTAAAAATGCATTTCTTCCCAGAGGGACTGACCCCTCTAGTATTGACTGATAACTACCCCTCCCCCTGGAAACAGGCAATAGACCACAAGCTGGGCTCTTATGGGCTCTCACCAGTATTCTTAATGTCCCTAGGCTTTGACCAAGCAAAGCAAGTAGTAATCAATATAATGAAGGACATGGAGTTCCAAGAAGAACTAAATAGGTTGGCTCGCCACAGCAGGGACAGAATTAAACAGGGAGTGTGGGAGTCAGCAAGATATCTAAATGATCTGACTTCCGGTTTCATCTTGTTCGGCGACGGACCGAAATCCGTGATCGTGCGTGGTTTTGATCCGTGCTTGCCGCTGGAGCACCCCGAGCCGGCTGGTTTCAGGGCTAAGCCACCCTGTAGAGGTGGTGAAGAGGGGGGAGACCGCAAGCAGGGTTGAGGAGAGCCGCATCTCTCCTCCCCAGCTGGCCATTACTCCCTTTCCCGAAGGCGGTTGCAGCGGTGGTCAGAAATGGCCACCTCAAAGAAGAACTCAACCGGAAAAGAATGTGCAGGAGGAAGATAAGAAGAGAAAGTTTTGAGTGACCGGGTCAAAATGAAAAAGCAACAACATAAGGTACCCTGGGATTTGAACTATAAAGAATAATATTGCTCCCAAAGAAGATTTTGAAGCAGCGAATGAGAGAGGGAAGGGAAAGGATTTGGCTTTTTTTTCCTTCCCTTCCTTATACTGACAGCTAAGAGATTTAAGTAAGAAATTGACAAAAATCCACTTTGACATTAATAGGCATTTAAGCTGAAAATAAAATGTCAAAGGGATAATAAAGACTTCTGGATTTTTAAAAACTTTTAAAAGAAGGAAAGGAGAGAAAAGGAAAAAACAAAAGGGTGGGATCTGGAAAAATGGAGGAGACCACCTGGAAGTAAAAGGAATTCACAATCAAACTTTAATAAGATTCCTAAAAGATACATTCCAACTGAAACTTTGTAACAAGATAATAGAACCCCAGGAAGAGAAAGTGGAAAAAAGAAGCAAGAAGATACAGCTTGGGTTATTTGGATTACTTGGTGATTTTTGGATTTTTGGTTATTGGATCTAAAGGACTAAAATCAATCAGGTGGTTG